ACACACCCCCTCAAGCTGGCAAGTACACGTTGTGTACTGCCAGCTTCTTGAGTAAGAAACGGAATCTCTCTGATCCAAGACCCTTAGTGAATAGGTCAGCTAACTGCACATCCGTTCTTACATGCTTCAATGCAATCAAACCTGATTTCAATCTCTCCCTTGTGACATGACAATCCACCTCTATATGTTTTGTTCGTTCATGGAAAACTGGGTTTTCCGCAATGTGAATGGCGGATTGATTATCACAATATAATGTAATAGGTTCAGGATGATTGCATAAGAAGAACTCAAGCATTACCTTGAGCCACTGCACTTCACAGCAGAGTTGAGCCAAAGCTCTGTATTCCGCTTCAGAAGAAGATCTGGATACTGTAGTCTGCTTTTTGCTTTTCCAAGTCACCAATGATGAACCCAGAAAAGTACAATATCCAGTGACTGATTTCCTTGTATCAGGGCATGTAGCCCAGTCTGAATCTGAGTAACCAGAAAGTTGCAATGTAGTAGATGATGAGTAGAACAATCCTTGACCAGGGTTTCCCTTAAGATACCTGAGAATTCTCTGTAAACCCTGTAGATGTACAGTAGTTGGTTGTGCTTGGAATTGTGACAGCTGCTGAATGGGAAAACATATGTCTGGTCTAGTTGTAGTTAAATACTGCAACTGCCCCAATAATTGCCTGAATGCACTTCCATCTACCAATGGTTCACCATCTTCTGCTGAATAAACAACCTTCTGACTTAATGGAGTCTTGGCTGGTTTGGAATTCAGAAAGTTTGAATTGGCTAACAGCTCTAAACAATACTTTCTTTGTGAAACCATGATGCCTGAACTTGATCTAGCAATTTCCAGACCAAGGAAATATTTCAGCTCTCCCATATCCTTGATCTTGAAAGCCTGTTTTAAGTGTTTCTTCAGCTTGGTGATTAGTTCCATGTTGTTACCAGCAATGATGATATCATCAACATAGACAACTAACACCACAACAGAATCATCAACTGTAAACCTGAACACTGAGTGATCAGCATGACACTGTGTGAAACCTGATTCAACTAGGAAAGTTTCTAACTTGATGAACCACTGTCGACTAGCTTGTTTCAGACCATACAGTGACTTCTGTAGTTTACAAACTTTCCCTTTATACTCAGGTTTCTCACGCAATCCAGGTGGTAACACCATATATACCTCTTCATCCAAATCCCCATGCAAAAATGCATTACTTACATCCATCTGATGTAATATCCACCCCCTGACAGCTGCAACTCCCAGCAACAACTTAACAGAATTTAGTTTGGCAACTGGAGAGAATGTATCCTGAAAATCAATACCAGGAACTTGAGTGTACCCCTTGGCAACCAGCCTGGCTTTATGCCTGTCAATGGTGCCATCTGAATGAAATTTGGTCTTGAAGATCCAACGACAACCAATTGGAGTTTTATCTACAGGCTTATCAACAATGATCCAAGTCTGGTTTCGATCCAGGGCTGCAAGTTCATCATTCACAGCAAGTTCCCAGTAACCTTCTTTCATAGCCTCTTCATATGATTGTGGATCAATGCAAGAGGAGATGTTAAGACAGAAGGATCTGTAATTAGGAGGAAGAAATTGGTAGGATAGATAGTTGGAAATGGGAAAAGGGATATTAGGTAAGGGAATAGGAGTCTTGGTAGCCAAGCCTAAGTGATACATTTGAAGATAGGCAGGCTGTTTGTGTACTCTATCTGATTTACGTAGAGCAAGGGGTGCTGGTGAAACGTCCTGAGATTGGATAGGTGAAGGAACAGGAGAGTTGGGAGGTAATGGAGAAGAAAATGGGATAGGTGTGGAAGAATGTATAGGAGAAGTTTGTTCTGTGGGAGAAGGAGAAGTAGAGGATTCATCAGAAGATGAACTAGAGGGTGATTGAGGAATGTAGTCAGGATCAGTGGGATCCTGAGGTTCTGGATAGAAAGGAATTAGAGGAGAAGAGTCTTGGACAGGTGAAGAAGAAGGAAAATTGGTCTCAGTTGGATTAGAGTTTGCTGGAGGGCTGCTGTCAAGAATGGCATTTTTGTAGGGGAAAACTGTTTCATGAAACACAACATCCCTAGAAGTGAAAACTTCATTAGCTTCTGGATCATAGAGTCTATAGCCTTTAACTCCAAACTCATAGCCAACAAAAATACACTTGATTGATCTTGCTGCCAGCTTAGGTTTGTGGGGCAAAACTGATGTAGCATAAGCTAAACATCCAAAAACCCTGAGGTCTGAGTAATCAGGTGGTACACCATAAAGAACTTCGAATGGAGTTTTGTTTGAAAGGACTGGGGAAGGAAGTCTATTGATCAGAAAAGCAGCATGAAGCACAAAGAAACTCCAGAAGGTAACTGGTAAGCCAGACTGAAATCTCAAAGCCCTAGATACATTCAACAAGTGTTGATGCTTCCTTTCCACTCGCCCATTCTGTTGTGCTGTTCTTACACAGCTCATTTCATGGATGATCCCATTCTGCTGATAAAAATCTTTCAAATGGAACTCCTGGCCCTGATCAGACCTCACAATTTTGATATGTTTGTTGAACTGAGTTGCAACAAGAGCATGGAAAGATTGTAAAAGAGTTCCTGCTTCTGATTTACTTCTCATGAGATAAATCCAAACAGATCTACTACAATCATCAACAATAGTGAGGAAATAGACAAAACCATCTAGAGAAGGGGTATCAACAGGGCCCCAAATGTCTGTGTGTATCATATCAAAAGGTTCTTTACTAATGGAACTGCTCCTAACAAAAGGGAGCCTTTTCTGTTTAGCTAAATGGCAGACTTCACAGTGTGTAACTGTACTGGTATCTACTTCCTTATGCTGTTTTTGTATTTCTTGTAGCTTGGGGAGTGAAGGATGTCCAAGTCTACTGTGCCAAAGGTTAAAAACTTGTGGTGAGGAAGATGTGAAAGGTCTTGATGTCTGGGATTGATCAAAAAGGTAGAGCCCCCTATTTACTTGGACCAAACCAATCCTCAGTTGAGAAATGAGGTCCTGAATGACACAAAAATCAGAACGAAAAATGAGTGAAACTGGAGAATCATTGGTTAATTTGCTTACAGAAACAAGGTTGTAAGCAAAGGAAGGAACACAAAGGACATTGGTTAACAGCAAACCACATGATAACCTAACTATCCCTATGTGTGTAACAGGGACTTGCTCTCCATTAGGAAGTGTGACAGTGATTCCTTCTACTGGCTTGTACTTAAGGTAATAGTTCACAGAGCAAATGATATGGTCACTAGCACCTGTATCTAGGACCCAAACATGTTTAATCCCAGTCATTCTTGTTGATAGAGCAAATGTACCTGCCATAGAGGTGGATGGTCGATTGAGAGTGACTGAATGTGCAGCAGGAACAGTGGGTGAAAGTGGTGGTGAAGGAGATGATTGCTGCTGCATCATTGCTTTCAGCTTACTGAAATCTTCCATGGCTGTAGACAACCTTGCAAGAATGGACTGAGGGTCATTGATGTTGTTTTGTCCTCCTGGTGAAGGAGTTTGAGAAAGCTGCTCTCCAGTATCAACAGATCCAGCAAATCTTGAGTTGTCTTCCTGCATTTTCTCTCTAGCTTTCTTCATCTTCAGCTTATAACAATCTTTAATCACATGATTGTTCTTCTTGCAGTAAACACAAAAGAGTTCTTGATTTGGATCTGCCTGAGGAGTTGATTGTGACCTAGGGTACTGTCTTTGAGATTGGTTGGATCCTGCTGCAAGAGCAATGGAATCTGTAGGCTTGCTTCCAACCAAACCATTACCTTTCATCTGCCTTTCCAGCTGAATAACAGACTTATAAACCGAGTCAAGGTTAGGCAAAGGTTCAATCAACAGCATTTGAGTCTTGACCATCTGGTAACTAGGAGATAACCCCTGCAAGAACTTAATGACTCTTCCATTTTCCCTGTACATACATACTGTTTCATAGGTCTTGGAAGGGCAATCACACACAGGAATGGGTTGATATGAGTCGAGTTCATCCCACAAAACTTTCAGATCTGTAAAGAACTGTCTCACAGACTGATTACCCTGGGTGCAAGTTGCCAAACGACCTTTCAAATCAGCTATTCTAATGGAATCTCCTTGACCAAACTTCGATTTCAAGTACCTCCATGCCTCACTCGCAGTTTTAATTTTCATAAGGCTAGGTCTGATATCATCAGAAACAGAACTTCTAATCCAGCAGAGAATGGTTCCATTAACTCTCATCCAAGTAGAATGTAAAGGGTTGTTACCATCTGGAGGTGGCAGTGTCCCGTCGATGAAGACCATCTTGTTTTTGGTTCTGAGAGCTTCTTCCATGGACTCGCTCCACACAAGATAGTTATCATCTGTGAGCTTGAAGGAGAGGATGGACGTGAATGCACTGTCTCCAGTGGACATGTAGTAGGGATTCATGTAAGGATCTTCAAACTTGATTTCCTGGGTCACCATTGTTCCACTGGTGGAATCTGATGCAGTAGCTGAGGTACTCATTATGAATCAAGTGAAACAGAAACTTGAAAGGGATATGTAAGAGAAGTCTTGAAGAAGGGAAATGGTTGATCAAGAGCAACCAGGCTCTGATACCATGTGAAATTCCTGAATGGGTTTAGGGTTTGTAGGGTTTTGTGGAAGAGGAAGACGAGCAGAGAGGGAGGAGATAAGGTTGAGAAAGGGTTATTCAAGAGAAGGCTCAATACCTCTCTGGGACTCAGTGGTCCTTGCATATATACAACGGTTAAAAATAACCTCTTTACAAAACCACCAGTCATGAAATGACAAGTGGCAAAGACCACTGTTTAAACAATAACGAATGAAGCTTAATAAAACGACTACGTATTCTATAGCTGTACAACGGAGTAATTACAAAAGGGTCTCCACAACTTGTGAATCGTTGCACTTGGGTCCTTCGTTGTTCTTCAGCATTCTGTTCTCCAGGTGCAGCAGCTTCCAAGTTGCAGAAGAACTTGATCCTGCTTCTTCGATTACCTGAGCAGGCTCAGGGGATGATCTTCACAGTGATGGCGACTGTGAACCAAAATTCTTGTGATTTGACCAGCTTCAATGCTATGCCGTCTTGGAAATTATACGACGCCGTTTTCGAATCGTGCGAGGTTGTTAGAATCACGAAAGCCCAAAGAAGCCCCAGGGCGGCCCACCCAGCAAATCTGTGGATCCTCTCGAAGACGTTGTGATGTAAATGTCTAAGGACAGGGAACGCAGCGAGGCAAGAGAAAGAGATGAACGAAAGGATCGCAGAGGCCACGGCCACGATCTCGAAGGATGTATGCGGCCAGTCGTTAAGAGTGAGGACCAAACTGTAAATTAGCCACGCAACGGAAGATACCCCGCACCCGCTGTGGATCCCACCAAGGCTTTGCAGGAGTGACGTGGCGGCCGTCTTGATACGGATCGGGACCCACGAGCGGCCCAGTATCTTCACCGCGGCCCAAAAAACGGCCCGCAGAAGGGCCTCGCTCCGACAGAGCGTGAGAAAGAAAATGTTCGCGATCGAAAACAGAGCTGCTCTGTTCCTCGCGCAAGGGAAATGACCCGTCGCAGCCAGGACCAATCCGACGACGTTTAGCGCAAAGCAAAACATGAATAGCATCTTGTAAACCGTGAACAGCCCTTGGTCCAGCAGTATGACCGAAAGCCGCGACGGTTTCTTGCTTTTCCTCGGCAGCTTTCGATCAGTGACGACGACATCGACGAGCTCTTCATCCACGACGTAATAGCTTGGGTCGTGGATGTCGAGGTCGAGGTCGCAGAAGTGGCTGCTGCTGCTGGCCTTGCTGAAGGAGCGTTGGAGCATATTCCAATACGAAATGGACAAGGGCCTGAAATTCGGCTCATCTTCTTTTGCGGATTTGGGGATGGCAAAAGGATCGCCGTGAGGCTTGATCTCGAAGGAGATTCCTCTGCAGCTAGAAAACCTGATGGGTGGGCTCTCCATGACTACAAAGACAAATTAAAGATGGCTAAGATTAGATTAATAGGGGATTAGCTGAAAGAGGAGACTGACTCATTATTAGTTGATAAAAAGGTTGATATATAAAGGATCAGTAGTGGTGATGTGTGGTTCTAGGCAGATTTTAATTGATTAAGAGAAGAACTGTAATAGCTCTGGAACTCACCGTTCTCCATTGTTAGTTTTTTTTGGCGGACAGCCGGACACTATAGAAAGATTCTAATTCAAAAGAGAAGCCGCATTTGGGTTTCCTCTTCCCGTTGGGTTTGTGTTTTCTCTTGTCTCAATCATGCTTGCTTTTTCCATCCTTTTGCATGGCTTGTCTTTTATTGTAGAATCATTTCTCTGTACCACTTTATTATGGATGATAAAAAATTTCATCACAACATAAAAAACTGAGAAGCTCTCTTGAGTCTTGACCACTATTGTTGTGTTGAAGGTGTCTGAATGATAATTAATTATTATTTTATTGAATGAAATACTTATCCAAACTTATAATAGTTGATTTGGAAGTTACGATTGTTAGATAGAAAAATACATATATAATATTTTACATATGTTATCAAAATCAATGCATGTAAAATACAATGTTTGGTAGCGGTGGATGCGAGGCATAGTACAACACTGAATCGCATTTGAATAGCACTGAGTCGAATACCTAAACTTAAAATAAGTTATATACTAGCTTTGGACTTAGTGACGGACAGGGTTGTGGCCCTGGGTCGCCAGCCTTTAGATCTACCACTAGCTTTTGGTCTGTGTAATTATGTATGTCATATAAGTTAAAAATCGAGATAAATCAATCTAATACAATTGCAGTTTACAAACGAACGATACATGCACAATGCACATGTTTGATACAGTTGGAGAATGAAGAGATGTGATGCATAGAGTATTTTTATGAGGTCAAGATTTATTTTCCATCAGTGAAAGTTGAAATTATATTAAAAAGGAAGTGTACCCATTTACAAGAGTAAAAGTGAGATTTACATTAATGCGGTTAAGATGAGGATCTAAATCGGCCACTGATAAAGCAAATGAAGAAGTATAGAAGAACTTCAAAGGATTAGAAGATGTGTAATTTTTAAATAATATTAAATTGCATGTACTGTACTCTTGTTGGGTTGGGTATGTCGTTAGAACAAGAAAACAAAGGCAGGTGACCGTTATACTGCGGCAATACGCTTTCTGTTCCTTCCAGGGAATCGTACTTTTGGGTAGTTATCATAAACGGTCACAAACCTTTGTATTTAGTACAAAACAGTCATAAATCTTTAATTTGTAACGATATGGTCATAAAAGTTTGAACTTGTACAAAATGGTCACTTCTGTTACTCTCCATCCAAATTTCCGTTAAATTTATCTAGTAAGCATTCCACCTCATCAAAACAAATAATAAACAACTCCAATTTAATATCTAACACCAACAATTATTCAGACTGGTCAAAAATTGCTAAAAGGTCGGTCAAACCCAATTCCACCACTCCCGCAACACGAACATCTTCTTCAAACCCCCCCCTCGCCGCCGACATTCATCCCGTCGCCTCATGACACAACACCTCTCTTACCCTCATTCTTCTTCATCGCCCATTCCCGTCAACATGGGAAGGCTAAATTGAGCTAGCAAGCCCAAAGCTTTCTTCCAACCCGCCTCTCCCAGTAAACGAACCCTAATTTCTGTTTCGCATGAATCCCTCTACAACTCCACCTTACTTATTGATAATAATCCCGACCAATTCAATCCCAGGTCAGGAAGAGGAAGGGAAAACAATGGGGAAACGAGACTCGACTAAATGCATCTCCTCTCCGTCTCATCTCCTCTGCTACCTTTGGTGGGCATCAACGCGGCGGCGAATGTCGGTCGTTATTTGCCTCGTTGTACGTCTTTTCTCGGTGGGGATGCTGGACAGAGGAGTTTTGATGGCGACCTGCGGCGATGGACGATCATGGGCCGAGGAAAGGGAACGGCGGGAGCGGTGACAAGTTGAAGCAGACAGTGCTAGGGGACGCCGCCAAAACCAACTCCCGCCGGGGAATCGCCGCAGCGTCGTGACCGGCGAAGATGGGGAGGATGAGGTGGAAAGGAAGAAGGAGACGTGAGGCTGTGGCGGGGTGGATCAGTCGAGGTCTTATCGTTTGGGTGGGTTGGGTTAGGGTAAATTTTTTTAATTAACATTTTGAATTTGTTTATTATTAATTTTGATGATGTGGAATGCTGATTAGGCAAGGGAGACGGAAATTTGGACGGAGAGTGACGGAATTACCATTTTGATATTTGCTCAAATGTTTGTTACCAATTTTTTACAAATCAAAGATTTGTGACCGTTTTGTACTAAGTGTAAAGGTTTGTGATCTTTTGTGTTGGTAGTTATCATAAACGGTCACAAACCTTTGTATTTAGTACAAAACAGTCATAAATCTTTAATTTGTAACGATATGGTCATAAAAGTTTGAACTTGTACAAAATGGTCACTTCTGTTACTCTCCATCCAAATTTCCGTTAAATTTATCTAGTAAGCATTCCACCTCATCAAAACAAATAATAAACAACTCCAATTTAATATCTAACACCAACAATTATTCAGACTGGTCAAAAATTGCTAAAAGGTCGGTCAAACCCAATTCCACCACTCCCGCAACACGAACATCTTCTTCAAACCCCCCCCTCGCCGCCGACATTCATCCCGTCGCCTCATGACACAACACCTCTCTTACCCTCATTCTTCTTCATCGCCCATTCCCGTCAACATGGGAAGGCTAAATTGAGCTAGCAAGCCCAAAGCTTTCTTCCAACCCGCCTCTCCCAGTAAACGAACCCTAATTTCTGTTTCGCATGAATCCCTCTACAACTCCACCTTACTTATTGATAATAATCCCGACCAATTCAATCCCAGGTCAGGAAGAGGAAGGGAAAACAATGGGGAAACGAGACTCGACTAAATGCATCTCCTCTCCGTCTCATCTCCTCTGCTACCTTTGGTGGGCATCAACGCGGCGGCGAATGTCGGTCGTTATTTGCCTCGTTGTACGTCTTTTCTCGGTGGGGATGCTGGACAGAGGAGTTTTGATGGCGACCTGCGGCGATGGACGATCATGGGCCGAGGAAAGGGAACGGCGGGAGCGGTGACAAGTTGAAGCAGACAGTGCTAGGGGACGCCGCCAAAACCAACTCCCTCCGGGGAATCGCCGCAGCGTCGTGACCGGCGAAGATGGGGAGGATGAGGTGGAAAGGAAGAAGGAGACGTGAGGCTGTGGCGGGGTGGATCAGTCGAGGTCTTATCGTTTGGGTGGGTTGGGTTAGGGTAAATTTTTTTAATTAACATTTTGAATTTGTTTATTATTAATTTTGATGATGTGGAATGCTGATTAGGCAAGGGAGACGGAAATTTGGACGGAGAGTGACGGAATTACCATTTTGATATTTGCTCAAATGTTTGTTACCAATTTTTTACAAATCAAAGATTTGTGACCGTTTTGTACTAAGTGTAAAGGTTTGTGATCTTTTGTGTTAATTACCCTAGGGTAGTTATCATAAACGGTCACAAACCTTTGTATTTAGTACAAAACAGTCATAAATCTTTAATTTGTAACGATATGGTCATAAAAGTTTGAACTTGTACAAAATGGTCACTTCTGTTACTCTCCATCCAAATTTCCGTTAAATTTATCTAGTAAGCATTCCACCTCATCAAAACAAATAATAAACAACTCCAATTTAATATCTAACACCAACAATTATTCAGACTGGTCAAAAATTGCTAAAAGGTCGGTCAAACCCAATTCCACCACTCCCGCAACACGAACATCTTCTTCAAACCCCCCCCTCGCCGCCGACATTCATCCCGTCGCCTCATGACACAACACCTCTCTTACCCTCATTCTTCTTCATCGCCCATTCCCGTCAACATGGGAAGGCTAAATTGAGCTAGCAAGCCCAAAGCTTTCTTCCAACCCGCCTCTCCCAGTAAACGAACCCTAATTTCTGTTTCGCATGAATCCCTCTACAACTCCACCTTACTTATTGATAATAATCCCGACCAATTCAATCCCAGGTCAGGAAGAGGAAGGGAAAACAATGGGGAAACGAGACTCGACTAAATGCATCTCCTCTCCGTCTCATCTCCTCTGCTACCTTTGGTGGGCATCAACGCGGCGGCGAATGTCGGTCGTTATTTGCCTCGTTGTACGTCTTTTCTCGGTGGGGATGCTGGACAGAGGAGTTTTGATGGCGACCTGCGGCGATGGACGATCATGGGCCGAGGAAAGGGAACGGCGGGAGCGGTGACAAGTTGAAGCAGACAGTGCTAGGGGACGCCGCCAAAACCAACTCCCGCCGGGGAATCGCCGCAGCGTCGTGACCGGCGAAGATGGGGAGGATGAGGTGGAAAGGAAGAAGGAGACGTGAGGCTGTGGCGGGGTGGATCAGTCGAGGTCTTATCGTTTGGGTGGGTTGGGTTAGGGTAAATTTTTTTAATTAACATTTTGAATTTGTTTATTATTAATTTTGATGATGTGGAATGCTGATTAGGCAAGGGAGACGGAAATTTGGACGGAGAGTGACGGAATTACCATTTTGATATTTGCTCAAATGTTTGTTACCAATTTTTTACAAATCAAAGATTTGTGACCGTTTTGTACTAAGTGTAAAGGTTTGTGATCTTTTGTGTTAATTACCCAGTAGATTTGATATGCAAGGTACCTGCAAAATAACACGCAGACAACCCCTAACGGAACAAACAAAATTAAAATACAATCGGGCCTCCAACGAAAATGCTACACAAGCTATACAGACTATGCCTTCTGCAACACAAACAAATATGGCAAAACCAACTAGTAGAAGAAATATACTCCATGTCGGACGACAAGCAAATCCTCACTATCATTAAAAGACACCGAATTCCAAAACAATTGCAACTCCCATCAAAAATACCAAACACAATCGTAAACACAATAATAATTAAATATAAATTTAAGAAAGAATTAATAGACTTATCTGAATGCAGGATATGATCCGTGTTTGAAAGTGTGACTGCCTATCCATTAGAATTTTAACCGCCATGAAATTATAACCGTCCGAAGGCCCGAGCGTTTTGAACAAGAATGAAGCCACGGGAAAGGTAACTGTACAAAGATGTAACTGCAGCCCACTAGCCTGTACGATCGTCGGCAAGACTCGTCATCCGCCGGAAAGACTCACCGAAGATCCCAACCCACAACTCCTGCAAAAAATAGGCAAAACTCACCGGAAAAGGGTGTCAGAGATGGGGAAACGCCACGAGCGGCTACGCACAAGGGCGTTGGGCAGCAAATTGCTGGAGCGCACAGTTGCGGAGAGAAGTAAAACTCAAAATCGGCCGAACTCGACCCTTCTATCGGGAATCATCGTGAGTGCGTGAACTTCTTATCTGACACGGGATTAGCGGAAGAACCTCCCCAAATGTGTAACTATCATAGTTGTATCTTCTTGAATTGTAACCGCCGAACTTGTAGAGATCGACCTCGGCGATTCAGTACTTGTTCTTTCCTTGGATGTAATCAAACAGCGAGAGGAAGCCGGTTGTGGAGGCGTCGACGAGGGAGATGTCCTCGCCGCTACTTCTTGTTGAAAGTTCTCAATATCTTACGCAACGTCGATCTCGCCGTCTTCGCCAGATTGCCGTAATTTTGCGCCGCCCAAGCCGCTCTCTCGGAGTCGGATCTGGCCGAGGTCAACCCGCCCCGGACCGAAATCAGGCTGTTCAGATCCGAAACGGCGCCGAGCAACTCACTGTACTCCAAGTCCCTCCACGCGTAGTCCCAACCGATTGACCAGGCGAATCCCCAGATCCGCAATTCGAGTCCTCGCTCCAGCTTCTCGGCGATGAGATGGGCGCGGTTCGCGCCGGCAACATCGCCGCGGGCGGCGCGGAGGTTGGAGACGCGGGTGAGGAGGGAGTGGATTCCAAAAGAAACCCTCTTCCTCCATGCCTCCATAGAAATTTCAACTATAATGACTTTTTGCATGGTTTAATAACTATTGGTTATTGATTAGATGCGAACATCTAAAGCTGCGACTCAAGATACGGTGCATAACTCATGGTTATGCACCGTTGAGTTACTAAATCTGGACCCTTCATTCAGAAAATCCAGATCTAAGGGTGGAGAATTAAATGCATTTTTATTTGTTGTCTTAATCGACTCATATCTTCTTTGTTTTAACTCGGATTTCATTTTTTTCTTTTTGCACAGATGGAACGAGTTTGTTGTGCTCTAAAAAATGAGATTCATTTTCAATCATTTTTTGCGAAAAAAAATCTTCTTGTCTCTCGTTACCAACTGCATACCATATGGTATATTCTTCGTTTTGAAGTCGTTTTTGAAATTTTTTGCACAAAACGAGCGAGTTCGTCATGATCTATTGGATCTACAAATTTTTGGGTGAACAAAATACATGACCAAAAAATACCATACAATACCACCCTGGTACGGGGTGATATCTTTTGGTACACAATGTTGAAAGTCGTAAATGATAGTTAGTATACTCCTACTATCATGTATTCAACCATCCTACTGTCTTGGTATGTTCATACCACCATAGTTCGCTTTTAATACTGATATGATGTCAAATTGGCCATTAGCCAGACTGGTATCGATTGATCGAAAAGGCAACACAAGAGCATTGAACAACACTAACTTTTGGTTAAGTTTTTTTAATAATTTCAGGTGGCCAACTTTGGACGTGTGCAACTCGTGATTGGCTTGGTGAAAATTCGACTTCAAGGGCTTGTATTGAAGAAGAAGAGTTTTTCTTTCCATCGACATATTTTGGAGCTCAAAAGTAGGGCTGTCTATTTGGTCCGAATTATTTATTTTTACCCAAAACTGGACCGTATAACCCGGATCGGGACCGGAACCGGATAGCAAATAATCCAATCCAATTTTTGGGCTTAGATTTCAGGTAAAAAACCTTTTGGGACCGGATAAAAAACTGGATAAAGACCGGATAAGAGAGCCCAACACCCAAACTTAACCAACTCCTCACTCTTTGAGTCCCCAGGCCACTCAAGTCCCCACAAGTTCAATCTAAAATCAAGACCGAATTGGGACCGGACCGGGTCAAAACGGACCGTATCAAGACCGAACTGTATCTAATCCAATTTTTGGTCATTATATTCCCGAAAAGACCGCACAAGGACCGGATCAATTCAGGCAAATTTAACCGAACCAGACCGTATAGCCACCCTAGTCAAAAGGTAGCCTAAAAGGTTGTTTTCAAGGTCGATCAAAGTGTTTGCTCAATACAGGTAAAACTTCCAAAATTGCCGAAGTATGGAAACGAGTTCATGAAGGTGACTTTGAGCTTCATTTCGAGGATGTTGAGCCAGGTTAGAGTTGAAGGTTGATGTCCCATGAAACTAGGCCTTTCATAATGCAACATCATGGAATTGGATAACTTGAAAAAAGCTTGGAGTACTTTGAACGAAGGCCATCAAGATCGTTTGAAGCCAGAAGGAAACTGTCTTGCTTGATCAAGAATCTGAATCCTATTCGAATTAGAATTGCGACTGGAGTTTTTACCTTTTCTGTTTTAAGTTCGATTTCCTTGATTGTTTGTAGATTGAACTTCCGTAATAGTTTGTTAGCTAGCCTAGGTCTATTTAAGGTCATTCAATTGCGTTGTAAAACTCAGTTTTGGTTTTAATCGAAGACAAACGTCAAGTTTGGTTCAGAAGTTTCGTATTGTGATTAGGAGTTGCTTAGAATGAGTTCTAGGGTACTCGTCACTGTATAGATCAAGCTAATCCCTCTTGATCGTGGCCATCCTTTATCTGGTTCTTCTCGAGCCTTTGCCGTTGTGAGCAATTGCACGAAAGAGCTAAACCCGCAAAACTATCCAACACACACCCTGTTTTGAAAGGGATTAATTTTCAATCCCAATTGTTGCACAATTCTGACTCCAAACCCTATCTGGAGTGTATTAAGTGGTAACCAGAGCTCGGTTCATGCACAGTAGACATGATGGAGAAGCTCGTTGTTGGGACAGGGTATTGGACATGGTCAAAGGGTCCCGTTTCCAACGACCCTGAAGCTGTATGCCGAAAACCAGAGGACGAGGTAGAGCTTGAAGTCGAAGTCTCAACAAAAGATTTCACAATGGGGGAACAACAAGTTGTCATAGAGGAGTTAATGCGACAATTTGACACGAGCTTCAACCAATTCAGGAAGGAAATCAACCAAAGGATTGATGCAATCGTTCGGCCGGAAAACAGAGCTCGTGAAGGGGAACCAATGTTTGAGCCCAACCGTGATCTTCATGCTCGAGATCGATGAGAGAATCGAGACGACGAGCTAGTATCCAACTTGGGATTAAGCTGAAGAGCACTGTGAATGCAACGACTTACTTGGATTGGGAACGAAAAATCCTCCTATTTTTCAAGTGTGGCCGTTACACAGACCAACTGAAGATAGCTTTGGCTACTTATGAATTCATTGAGTATATCGCCCAATGGTGGCAGCAGCTCTAGATTCGTCACCGACGAAATACGCAATTGTTGGTGACGACATGGGATGAATTGCGAGGTCTGATGAGGGACTGATTCGTTCCAGGATATTACCTAAGAGAGGTCCATGACTCCTTCCAGAGTGTTCATCAAGGATCAAGGAGGGTGGAAGACTATTATCGAGAGCTCAAGCTGCTCATGATGAGGGCTGACGTACGTGAAGACAGGAAGGTGACGATTTCATGATTTCTACACGGACTAAATCGTGAAATCCGCCAAGAGGTGGACTTGAGGAGCTTCATCGACCTAGAGGAGGTTGTGCATCTCGTTGTGAAGATCGAGAAACAACAGAAGATGGCTGCACGCCAACATTTTTCCTCGACGGTAAAGACAATAGCAGAGGCCAGTATAGAAGCCAATTCGCCTCTGACAAAGTCTGAAACTGCTAGATTGGTTCCCAAAAACCCAAATCTAGTTTCTACCGAAAGAATTGGAGGAATCTAGTGCTTTAAGTGTCATGGTCGAGGACACAAGGCGAACCAATGTCCAAACTTGAAGGCCTTGATAATTTGCGATGGTGAGTACCTCACTCATGAGGAAAAGAATTCTGATGAAGAGATAACTATGGAAGCCGAAGTTGTGCCTGGGAAATTGAGTCGCGTCAATAGAAGAACCCTCACCATAGATGCTCATTCAAACTCGGAATAGAGAACTAACCCGTTTCATTCCAGGTGTGCTGTTAATGGCAAAGTGTTGTCATTAGTTATCGACGGGGGAAGTTGCGCTAATGTCGTGAGCTTTGACGTGATCAAGAAACTCGGGCTTACAACTACCAAACATCTAGAGCTCTATACTTTGCATTGGCTCAACGACTACGGTGCAGTCAAAGTCAACAAGCAAGCCAAAATCAAATTTGAAGTCGGCCAATATGAAGATGCAATTGTCTTTGACGTTGCTCCAATGCAAGCTGCACACCTTTTGCTTGGACAACCTTGGCAGTTTGATCAAGGAGTCTGCCATTATGGAGGAACCAATTGCTATAAGTTCAAGCATCGGAATCAACAATTTCTACTTAAGCCTCTAACGTCGGCTGAAGTTTGCGATGACCATGCAAATGGAAGCCAACCGACAGCAGCAAGCCCACAATTTCAGTGGGAGAGAGAAGGAAGCTTCCAAGGAAGCTAATTTCATCACCCATCAATTTATGCTAACGACTTACAAAAGGGAGAGGAAGCCTCGATGTTGACGGTGAAGCGGGTCTGTTCGTTGTCGCCGGAGTAGGAGAAGAAAGAGAGTGAATTGGGTGGAGCTCTGGAGAGCAACCCAAACCCAAATGAGGACATCGGCACAATCCATGGGCCACAGGGAAGCTTCACCACCCATCTGATTGGGTAAAAAACAACTGGATTGCAGAATCCGATTCGAGCCGAAAGTGCTCCGGAAACAACCAAGCTAGTCTCAAAATTGGCTCTATTGGTTGGAATGAATGAGAATGGTTCGACACAAATGGCGAGTGCAGAACTGTTGGGGACAATACCAGGAAGCTGTAGGAATGATCCAATTAGGCTAGCAAAGCTTGAATAAAAAATGCCCGAATCAAATTCAAGTGTTGAGTTTTTGAACTACTACCATGGCGGGAAAGAATTTGCTGGCGAATCGACGTTGAACACGATGATCGAGCTACGAGACCCATACATAACTTCATATCCAAGCAATAGAAAGCCATTGGTGGCCTTGAATTGCATTGCGGATCCCTAAATTCGAAAGCCCCAATTCGAGACCTGAAGAGCGAAGTCCTGATTTTCCAGAAATTGCAGCTTGGAGAGATTTCATTCGATCCAATTTGGGATCAATTTGCTGAAGCTTTTGAAGAGCGGAGGACCAAAGTTTTGAGGTCAAAATTTTTTAAGGGGGAGGGACTGATATGATCTCAAGTTGGCAATTAGCTAGACTAGTCTCGATTGATGGAAAAGGCAACCCAAGAGCATTGAAGAATGTACACTAATTTATGGACAAGTCTTTTAATCATTTCAGGTGGCCAACTTTGGATGTGTGCAACTCGTGATTGGCTTCGTGAAAATTTGACTTTAAGGGCTTGTATTGAAGAAGAAGAAGAAGAAGAAGAGTTATTCTTTCCATCGACATATTTCGGAGCTCAAAAGGAAGCCCAGAAGGTTGTTTTCTAGGTCGATCAAAATGCTTGCTCAGCACAGGTAAAACTGCCAAAATTACTTAAGTCTGGAAACGAGTTCATGAAGGTGACTTTGAGCTTCCATTCGAGGAGTTGCGCCAAGTTTGGGTTACAAGGTTGATGTCCCATGAAACTAGGCCTTTCATAAAGCAATGTCGTGGAATTAGATGACTGGAACGAAGCTTGGAGGACGTCAAAAGAAGGCCAGCAAGATCTTTAG